TGTATATAATTAACTTACATATTTTCTTTTAATTCTTCAGGAATAATTACAACGGCGAGAAAATAAATGATGTATCGTGTAACAACGCTTACATGTATATCTGTGAAGTGCAAGGTTTGCATTTTCAATCTCAAATATCATTAATATGTAAACAATAATGGACGTTCCGCCAACGCACAATAGCCAAAAACAAGCTAATTGTGCGATATACATGGAGCACAAGGTGTGCTTGAGTCTATTATGGGTTGACGTGTAGTTCATTATTATTATTATTTTGTAGCATGTGTACACCTATACTGTTCCTTAGATCTTCACTGCGAACATGGCTGAAAAACATCATTGACTTGAATTTAATGTGACTGTGTGAATAAAACAGACACATTAAAAAGAGATACTTTCATTTGTTTATGTAAACTGTGACCCCAGAATGTGATTTTTACACATCGGTCTTTTGCAGATCTCGTTTTGCAAATAAGGTAGTAATACGAACGCAATCAACACCGAGAGAGCTGTGAGGAGTTTTGTCATAAAGCTAGGTTAATACAAAATAGTCATAGATAATGGATTCCCTCAAACATACTTGTACTGATTTAAATATTGCTCCCTCTCTGTGCCAGATGATGCAATGAAAAACATGGTGGGACTACTTGATAGCCTCGATGTGAATGAACAAAAAGTTAAGTGGGACGAATCTGGTCCTGCATGTGCCAACAAAGGTATGCAATTAGCCAAAGACAATAGCCAAGTTGCTCACATGAGTCTACTGAATAAACTACTGCTTGAAGATGTCAATAAGGACATGTGGATCGATGTCCGTAAGCAAGGTTCTGATATTATTTCCAGTGACGGGCAAGTACAGAGTTATACAGCGTTTCACACTGGTCAGCCAGACGGTAACGGAGATTGTATCCATTTGTGGTAAGCATTACCCTTCTTTTTTTTTATTTTACATTTAACACATAATGCACGTTAGTTATTATTATGCTAGTGTTCCCGTGTGATGATTTGTTGAGCGATGCATGATAACGTATTTTTATACCAGGTCAGCTCACAAACACCAATGGGACGATGATAGTTGTACCAGGACTAAAGGCTACATATGTGAAGAAGGTAAGACAACTATTTGCAGGTTTAGCTTCAATATATATAGTAATGGAATAATGCTGGAATTTCGCAAGTTACAGCGCCTACGTTTACAATACCTGTGTAACACATGAACATCCGCAGTGGCAATATATTTGACTAACGTGTAATATATAAACTTAGTCATAGTGTATGCATAATCATTTAACGTGGCAATCCCTGGCGATGATAAATCACA